ACACACACAATACGTAATTAATTAGAGCATAACAACAGACTCTTGCAGGTAGATTTTGCAACAAATGCTACACAAAGTCATGATTCAACTTTTCACACACACCTTAGCGGTTTGTTATACGTACACAAAATGGACTAAATTCAAAAGACTGTGGAAAGAACAAGAGATGGAAAAATATTAAGATGAGCAACTTACTGCCTGGCTTGTTCGCGGGTTGCATAGGTAACATTAACCACTGCGGTCTCACTATCTGTGTTGACTGAAAGAAAGAAAAGAGGAAGTCTGAATACATTGTAACTTGTTTCATTACCAGGTTAAACAGCATCCTCGCTGACTGACTGATGTGTGTGACACATTAGTGCACGTCTCTCAGAGCGTTCTAGAGTGCACGTGTGCTTTTGTCATCAAAAACTACTTTTTCATGTGTATTCAATGACACATTTATTGCTTTATTACTGGTGGACATGGGTGATTACAAGCTCCTAGGTCAACATGGATATTTATCATTGGCAGAACTATACTTTTTGCACTAGCCTAACTGCATTTAAACAGGTAAGTTTGGCCACTTACAGTGTGATTGCACAAAAAACATTACATAAAGGGGTGAAAACACACATGAATCAGTCATTTACAGTGGTCCTTCACTATATTGCGGTTCACCTTTCACAGCCTCGCTGTTTCGGGATTTTTTTTTTTTTTTGTGCAATCTTGCATGCTTTGTTTTTTTAAGCGCATTGTGTTCTGTGTCCTGATCGGCTGTAGCCCATTGTCAGTCAATCTCCTGCCGTGTCCCCTGTCCAGCACAGAATGAGTTCAGCTTGTCAAATGTACGTAAATCTTCAATTGCTAGCAGTGTGACTCTGAAGTGCTGTACCGTATGTTTTTAAATTTTCTCCCCAACAAACACGGCAATGTCACCTAAACATTTTGCACTGTCAAAGGCACCTGTGGGTTCCTTTGGTTTCATTCTGTAATACTGGGCTTATTTTTCTACGAAGGTTTGAGTGTTTAAACAAGAGAGAAAAGTGTGAAAATGTTCATGCCTGTCTGTAAGAGTGTATGAAGCGTATAGTGAGGGGTTTTACAGCCTTAAAACATCTATGATAATTGTAAAAAATAAAGTTGGCTACTTTGCGGATTTTACTTATCACGTTATTTTTAGAAGGTAACTCCCGCGATAAACGAGGGACCACTGTATTACTAGTTATTTAGCATCTGGTGCTGGAAAGTTTACTTAAGCAATCCTGAGTCTTCTCTCTGAGGCAGGGTTTAACGAAATCTGTGGCCTGCACACTCAAACACACCAAAAGCCCAAATTGTGAAAATGTGCTTTGATTTACAGCCACTACAGAGTATTTAACAGCAGAATGGGAGGCAGAGCCTTCAGTTTTCAGGCCCCTCTTCTGTGGAACCAGCTTCCAGTTTGGATTCAGGAGACAGACACTATCTCTACTTTCAAGATTAGGCTTCAAACTTTCCTTTTTGCTAAAGCATATAGTTGGATCAGGTGACCCTGAATCCTCCCTTAGTTATGCTGCAACAGGTTTAGTATTAACACTATATGTTAATAGACCTCTCTGCACTGAATCACACTTGTTATTAATCTCTGGCTCTCTCTGGCCGCCCCTCCCTGAGCCTGCTTCTGCCGGAGGTTTCTTCCTGTTAAAAGGAAGTTTTTCCTTCCTACTGTTGCCAAAGCGCTTACTCCAAGGGGGTCATCTGATTGTTGGGTTTTTCTCATTATGCATTATTGTAGGGTCTACCTTACAATATAGGGCACCTTGAGACAACTGTTGTGGTGATTTGGTGCTGTATAATTAAATAAAACTGAACCGAATAGAACAAAGTATCCACTTCATGTACTAGCTCATGTAACACATAGAAAGAAAACCACCCCCTTAATCATCACGGTCATGCACCATCTCTGCTCATCTGACAGCTACAGGAAGGTTCTTTGTGTTTTGCTACTACATTTAAAAAGCACATCACAGAGAGTTACGGTTCTCTTTAAAAACAACTAAACACTAACATGGTTTAGAAGACAGAAGCCTTTTTGTGTACTCTAACTGAATGACTCAATCCTAGATATGCTCTCTAAAGCATGAATATTGGCACCCGCAGTCATTTCTGAACTTTTGGAATAACTCGAGTATCTCATCTTAAATCGTGGAAATAACAAGCATCCAAAAAAAGTGTCTGCAGTGAGTACAGGTGTAACTGTGCATCACTAACACATAGGTTAATGTTTTCATAATATGGCTGTAACTATAAGGTACTGTAGGTGAAGATCAGAATATATGTTACCAGCAGCTAATGCAGAAAGAGTTGCTGTGCTTTTTCCATGCACCACATACTCTAAGGTTTATGGATCAATAGCATGCTGTCTGGTCCAGGCTCAAATTGAATCAGTGATTAATATCCACAGTTAGCCAGTCGGTTATATGATACTGCCAGCATTTTCTACTTCTGTCCCATGGAGTACCTCAACAGTGACATTCCTGCTAGATCTACTTGTTCTCACTAATGTTCAAGAACTGAAATAATAATAATAATAATAATA